GAATCGATCTCTTTCTTAGTCTGTAAAATGCTTTCTTGGCCTTCTTGGGGGCCACAAGTGCTTGTGTCCTGGCCAACTAGTGTTTCCACATTTGCAGTTTGCTAGGGGCTCTTGGTCAAGTGCAGATTCTGATCGAGGAGGTCTGGTGTGGGTCTTTGAGCCTCCGCATGTCTAATAATACCGCTGCTGCTGCTTCATGGACCACACGAGGCCCGAGTGCTGGGCCCAAGCCACCCAGCTGCTTGCTTTATAAATAAAGTTTTATTGGAACACTCATGTATCACCTGTGGCTGCTTTGTGGGCAGCGTTGACTATTTGTGTCAGAAAGCTTATGACCCACAAAGCCGCAGGGAAAGGAAAAGCCTCCTCCGAGGGCTGGCTAGGCGAACTCAAAGGCCTGGGTGACTTCACTACTGGATGGCCCTGGGCGAGCGACTATACCTTACCAGTTCTTACTTTCCTGACAAGGACGCGATGATTTCTAAGAGGGCCAGGATTCTAGGCTTTCAATGCTAGAAAGAAAACACCAACGTTTCTATAGAAACAGGTCTCTGATAGCTACATTATGCAGCCTTCACCTGGAAGTGACACTTGGGTATGCATGTACACACACACACACACACACACACACACACACACACACACACACACCCAAGGCTTAACCCTGCAGATTCCCGCAAGGCAGTCACTGCGGGATGCCAGGGGAGGCCCATGGAGACAGACATAGCTAGAGCTCTGTGGAGCAGTTCATTGCCATGGGTCAGAAGGGACTGGACTGGAAGGTGACCTTGGGTATTTCCTTGAGGAGCTCAGTCAGGTGTGAGAGACACATGCCGATAAGTGATTATTGGAGGTTTCCACGAGCCAGGGCTGAGGGGCAGTGCGGGACTCTGGGTCTCTAGCTGAAACCTGTACTAAGGCGGGAACCATAAAGGGCTTGCAGAACTGCATGGTAAAGCTGAGAATCCTGTGGGAGGAAATGCCCAGGCTCGCTGCCGGGAGTGTCAGGTGTACATCTTGTCACGTGGGCTACTCAAAGCTGCGGGAAGACCCCGTACACCCCCATGAGGGCAACCCTCAAGTGTCAGAGTGGGACTATGTTCTAAGGGGTTTTCAGGGTCTGATGTTTCAGAAGTGGCATTAACTGTGAACACCATCAGGACGCCTAGAAGTGGCTTTGCTATCAGAGGCCCAGAGGGGCCACGGGTGGACCACCTAATCTTGTGGTTGCTGCTGGTCCAGATCTTGCAACAGGAAAAAACAAGGGCAGGGCAGGCTAGGTAAGCTGGAACAGGTGTGAGGCGCAGGGTAGCACGTGGAGAGATGTGTGGGAAGGCTGGACCATGGTCTCTAGGGCTGGAACAACTGTATCTGTCCAGCTGTATCTGGCTGGAGGTCCAAGTCCACACCAAAGAGCATTGGAAGAAAGGCCTGGTGGTCTACTTCCAAAAGATCATAGCCAATCTACTTCCAAAGGTCACAGCCATAGAAAACCCCATGGAGTCCAGTTCCGGCACCTGTGGGGTTGCCTTGAGTTCAAATGAGTTTGCTGTTTTCCGTCACCAGCCTAGAGTTACTGGAGGAGAAGAGGCTGAAAGGAGGAAGAGACCCCTATCCAAGGTTGGCCATGGCCCCCCCCACCTAGACACACCTCCATTTTATAGAACGGGGAGGGGGGGCAGGGGGTTTCAAACTTCCGACCTTGCAGTTCGGAGCCCACGACACCCCCAGGGCTTCTATTTTACGTGGAAGGACAATGAAGATGCAAGGAGATGGGGCCCAGACCTACTGCTGCTGAGTTGGCTTTGCCAAAGTCACACAACAGGTGAGAGGCAGTGTCGAACCTGGAGTCCAGGTCTTTGACTTCCAAGCCATCGCTTTTCCCCTAAAAGAAGTTGCCTCTTGAGCTTTTGCCACGCACAGCTCAGCTTCCATGAGATTGTGGCCCTTCCAAGGACAAAGCTCAAGGTTGGCATCTCTGCTTCACCACGAGACCGGTCCCCTTCTCTGATTGGCCTATGTCCTCATCCAAAGAACAGGAAGTGGTTTTGTTTTTCGCTAGGAAAGCACATCTTCAGGGGGAGGGAAGGGGAAATTGGGAAGAGGATTCCTGGACATGATGGTCAAGAGCCATCAGCAGACACTTTACTCTGGGCCACTCCTTTTTGCTTGACGAAGGGGAAGATACAGGCTCAGACATTTCACTGGAAGATGAAGATTGTTCTTTAAGTCCTAACGAGAGCAGGAGCTCAGCAAGAGCTTTCCCGAGACCCTGGGAGGAGAAGGGATGTCACATGTGGGGGGAGGAGGAGAAGGGCTCTACGGTGGCGAGTTCTTTTCTGGCTGACAGAGTGGGGGTGGTGGCAGGAGACTTTCAGAAACCTTCCAAGCTTCCACCCCTCCTCTTCCAGCACCCACAATCCCATCTACAATGTCCCTGCCAAGGGCGGAAGGAGGAGCACATTAGTCCGTTTAATAATTTATGTAAATAGAAAAGTGTACTGTGTGAAGTGAAAGGGACGTCAAAGGGCCATACACCAAACCAAACCAAACCAACAAACCAAGAAAACCACCCTAAACCCAAATGAATTCTCTTACCGACCCTCTAGAACAGGCTGGAACTGCCTCTGTGTTTCTGAGACTGTAACTTTATGGGAGTAGAAAGCCGGGGTTTCTCCCGAGGAGTTGGTGGTTTCAATGACTGACCTTGGGTGAGTAGCCCAATGTACAACCACTATGCCACAGGGCTCCACGGCAGAGACCAGAACACGTCCCTCCCCCGACTCCCAGCTGTGTTTTTTAGTTGCCACAGGGTCAGTCGCACATGGCAGCCCCGTGTGTGGAGCAGAACCACTCTCCGTGGCTTTCAAGGCCATGACCTTGGGGAAGCAGATTGCCAGACCTGTTTTCCGAGGTGCCTGTGGGTGGGTTTGAACTGCCAATGTTTTGACTAATAGCCAAGTGCTTCACTGTCTGTGCCAACCAGGAACTCCTTCAAAACAAAACGAGCCTGAGTCTTCCTTAAAGGGAGGGAAGTATGGAGATGCTGCTGTTTGATGGCCTTGCCCTGGAGTTCAACAATCCCATTATCCAACAGCTGGGTCTGAAATGAGCCAGTAGCCACTCCCTGTGAGAGTCAGCCAAGCTCTGTCTCCGTCCACTGGCGGGAGCTACAGGCTGGGACATCAAAGCACACAGACACAGACTTCTAAGACGTGACGCCGGGAAGAGACTTGGGATATCTGTCTACATCTGTGGTTCTCAAAGCTGGCGGTCCATCAGAGTCCATTGAGGAGCTCATTAAAAATTCCTAAGTTAATGAGGAAACTTTGTACTGGGTCCTAGGACTCTGCATTGTCAATAAACAAGCCCTACTTAGAATCAAGGATCTGGCCCAATCCATCTAGCCAGGCACCAAAACTTGTACACCAGACACTGGCATTCTTCAAGGACCATGGACGTGCCAACAAGTAGGTTGGTGGCAACATGTGGACTAGAATCCCAGTCTCCTGCCTTTCAGCATGGTTCCTTTGCCAAAGCCTTCACATAAGGCTTCTCTCCCGCAGGCACCAGTCCTACCTGAGACCACTTCAAGGAGTTCTGGAGCCCATTCATCTAACGCACTGAGGAATCAGAGCTGCTAGCAACTTTCCTCAAATGCCCATTGGTTTGTTGGTGGAAATGGCTAGCAAGGGGTTGGCGTCAAGGTCGTGGTGAGCTACATTCGCTCCCTCAGTGGGCAGAAAGAGGAAGGCCTAGCTGATAGTCCCTAGGACACAGGACGTTGCAGGCAGAGCAACCAGTCTGTTCTGAGGAGCCGCCTGCTGTGTGAGGGAAACCGGTGGTGGAGGCAGAGCTTAAGGAAGAGCAGCAGAGGAAGGCTCAGGTTCAATATGAGGAGGTTATACCTACACGGGGCTCTGCAGGCCACACTGAGAGCTTTGGTTTTGATGTGGGGCCTCTGCAGGGTTTGGGCAGAGGAATGGCATGGTCTGACAGGTTTTCACAGGTGTACTCTGGATGTAGTGGTGAGAGTGGATTTTACCAGGTAGAGTTAAACGCAAGGAATCCCCTCAGGAGGATTTGCAGTAGTCCAGGACTCAGATGATGGCGGCTCAGACCAAGGTCGTACGAATGCAGGTTGTGAGAAGTTAGCTGGATCCTGGGTGACTTTTTGGTGGGAAACATTTTAAAAGGTTGAGCCACCAAATTTTCTGGTGGGTTATGTGAGGTACATGAACTCAAAAGGGGGACTCAAGGTGCGTGGCAAGTATTTGACTGGAACAACTAGAAGCCTAGAGTTGATTGTTTATCAACGAGATGGAGAAGGCTGTGGGTGAGAGGGATGGTTGGTGGGAGGCCCGGGTGGACACACTGCAGCACAGGCTGTTGGGCACGGGAGCCTAGAGCCCAGGGAGCAGTCGGCCTGGTTTGAGGCACCCTTGGCATCGTGAGGTGTTTAAATAAAGCCTTAGGGTTGAATGAGACCATCCAGGGGTAAGTACAGGCAGAGAAAACATCAAGAAGTCAGGGAGAAGAACTGGCAATGAAGATGGATGAGGTGTGACCTGTGAGGTAGGAGGACAGTTCAGACAGTGTGGAATCCTGAAGCCAAGTGGACGCTGCTTCCAAGAAGAGGGGGAGATCACCGGCGTCCAATGGCATTGAGAGCTGACCCCTCTCAATGAAAGCAATAGGAAAATGGCTATTGGATTTGGTGACTTAGAGGACACTTACAGCCATGACCGTGCAGCATTCAACTCTTAGAACCCCCATGGTGCGACCACTGACTGTCATTTAGGGCTCCCTTATTGTTGGCTTTACCTTCTCAGTTAGGTTATAAACTTTGCAACAGGAGGGCTGATGAGTCAGCATATTACTAGAGGTCCTAGTTGGTCTTACAGTTGGATCTGCTGTAGATTCTGATAGAGTTTGCCTATCGACTTACCTGAATGCCCCTCCCACTGACCTACAGCAAACAGTCTTGGGTCCTGCCTTACCTTGGACACAGAATTTCAGTTCCTTGGGGTCAATAACGACCTTCCCGCTTTCCCGGATCACAGCTCGATTCTTTTTGGTTTCTCCCCAGAGGTTGGTGCCTCCGTACATGCTGGGGATGTTAAGGATGGCAATGCCTTCAAGGAAGACGTTGCTTAGGTCCACTTCAACCCCGTCACACTGGGGAACAGAGAAAAGGCCATCTGTTAGTGTCCTCCACTCTTCCAAGCAAGATTCCATAGGTGGGTGGTGGAGGCTTCTCAAAAAGGGCATGATGGCCCCCAGCCACCACCCTGTCTCTTCTCAGAAGCTGAATCTTGGGCAACATTCCTCAGGCCTAATGTTTGACCTTTGCAAGAGCTAGTCCGGTTCAGTACCGGGGACAGCAGCACAAGGCTCCAGGGATCACAACAGGTCCAGGAGTGTTGCAGGGTCAGGCCAAACTCACTCACTGCCCTTGAGGCAATTCGGACTCACAGAGGCCCTATGTATCATTTCCAAGGCTGTAAATCTTTATGCGAGCAGACAGTCTTATTTTTCTCCCAAGGTACTGCTGGTGGCTCTGAACCGCCCACCTTGTGGTTTGCTTAGCAGCCCAATGCCTAACCCACATTTCCACCAGGGCTCCTTTTTTAGGGTCCGAGTACAAAGCATTTGCAAAAGTGCTCTCCAATCCAACCTTACTGCCTTCTATTCTGCTCCATCCTTATCATTGTAAAGACTTGGTGGGTCCACGAGTCCAGAATCTAACACGCAGTCAATTCTCAACAAACTATAGAAAACTTTCATTTTTCTCCCTCTTATTTAGTCCTTCCTGTGAGAAGTACAAGACCTTAGGATAGGAAAGGCTTTCACAATGTTCCTGCCTCCCATATCTGTATCATAAGTGCAATTTTGGCCTATGTGCTTGCTGAGGTAGTAGCTTTTTTGTCCAAGCAGCATCCCCCTGGAGATACAAAAGGCCAAAAGGCTTGAATTTGCCAGTCTCACATTATCTATTCAGTCCGCTCATTTTGGCATGGTGCTTACCACCACAGCATGAAACATATTCTGTTCCTCATTCCTCAGGATTATAGGTCGTTCAGTTAATTTCACAAAAGAAAAGAATGGACTCACAGAGGTGAGCTAAATTATCAAAGGTCAAGTAGTTGGTCAATAACAGAGCAGGGAATCAACCTTGGGGAATTTGACTGCTGCTATGGATTGCCTAGTGACCCCCTCCCCCATATGTGTGGTCAAGAGACCAGTCCCTGGAAAAGGGCATCATGATTGGTAAAGCAGAAGGGCAGCAAAAACAAACAAACAAACACCCTCAACAAGATGGATTAACAAAGTGGCTGCCACCCTGGGCCCAGACATCACAATGATGAGGCTGTGGCATGTGGGGGTCACTGGGAATTGGAGTCAATGTAACAGCACCCAGCAGCAACAACAACAACAACAACAACAACACACCTGTGCACACTATCTCATTTGGGAATCAAATTGCCTTTGTTGTGTTCATGAGTCCATTCGCAGTACAAGGTGTTTTTTAAACCAATCACGTTTGCAGTATCAAGTAGATTAGGCACAGAGGCAGGGAAACACAAAATGGGGATGATGGCTGTCACAAGACAAGAAGGTCACCGAGGAAAAGCTGACAAAAGGAACGCCCCCGCCCCGCCTATCCTCAGGAAAGAGAACTTCCTCTGGAGAGGGTGCCCAAATATGAACCGTTAGCATCTAACCATGAAAGAAGAAACCACCCACGAGTGGTAATTCTGCACCAACAGCATTAAGAAACAGACCATTATGCTCAATTTTGCTCCTTGCAAGGCAGGGAAGACCATTAGCAACAAAAACCTGTTCTCCAACTTCACCTCCAATTCCAAATTGCCAACGATTTGCCAAGAGAGAAGACGAGGCTTCTCGTGTTTGCATTAGCTCACCTCGAGATTTGCTGAAAGTTCACAATTTATGGTATTTTTTCACCCCATGACTTCGTCTCAACGACAAATGGCCAACAGGGTGAGCTTGTCCAGGAACCGGAAGCTGGCATGCTCACTGGGAAGTTCTGGTTGTTTGAAAGGTCTCGTTGGCCCAGATTCGTTCTTCCTGCTTCTACCCATCGGTCCTAACCCTATAATGCCGAGCGCGATGTTTTCGTAACATTTAATTAAATATATATATTAATATATATATTGGTAACTGTGAAAGTAAAGAATAAAAACAAAAAAATTTTCCCCCTGAAATTAAAAATTCAGGCATTATAGGGCTAATTTTCCCTTCTGAAGCCACATGGAATGACTCTCCTTCCTCCTCCACAGGATCATGGGCAGGGGCTGATGATGGGTATGACAGACAAATCATCACCATCATCATCCTCATTGGATATATATCTATGAAGCACCTGCCACCTTCCAGATAAACGTTTACAGGCATATCTTATTTATTGTGCTCATAATAATCCGATGAGGTAGGACTAATATTCCTTCTTCACATTTGGGGAAAGTAAGGCACAGGGGAAGTTAACTAACTAAGTCTGGGTTGAACACTCCTACTTCTCCACCTTCTGTGGAACTTGGCTTCCAGACCCTTCCCCATCCTGGCTACCCTCTTCTAAGCACATTCCAGTTTGTTAGGCTCCTACTCAGCTTAAAACAAAGCAGAACCCACTGCCATCAAGTCGACTCCGACACATCAAGATCCTATCAGAGAGAGTAGAATTGCTCCCTAGGGTTTCTGAGACTGTCACTATGGTTAGCAGTCAACAAGGACCCCTACGCCACTGGGGTGCTTCAATTAGGACCCACACATGAAAACAGCCCACTGATAGGACCCAGTGGGACTCGGGCAATGACACTACCAGTTTCTGGAACTTGGATTCCACAACACTATCGTGCCCCCCAAACCTTCAGTCCATGCAAGGGCGTAATGCGTGCCCCAGTATCTTTATCCTTGTCATGTTAATGTTGCCCGAGTTTGTTCAAGGGCATCTAGCAGACAGTACTGCTTCAGCCCGGGTAGGTGGTCATCTCAGTCAGACTCTTGTCAGGATCTAAGTCTGAGCTGGCGCTTCCTTATCCTGCACTTGTGTGGTCCTTTTTCTCCAAACTCAGACATGCTGTTGTTTTTGTTTGCCCCCAACTCAACCCTGACTTGCGGTGACCCCATGTGCTACTGAGAAGTGTTTTAAGGGGTTTTCGGCTGCAATCTTAACGGAAGTAGAGCACCAGGGCTTTTCTTCCATGGTACCGCTGGGAGGATCCAAATGGCCAGGTTTCAGATCAACAGCTGACCACAAACTGTTTGCCCCACACAGGGGTCCTCAAACTTAAGACACTGGTCTTTAGAGTACATCAATTGATTCAATCCATCTTTTGGTCCAAGCTTTCTCTAGCCCAGGAATCAGCAAACTGCAGCTCAGAGCCATATGTGACTCTTTCAGTACATATATTCAGCGATGGCTCTCAAATAATTTTTAAATTATTGTGAGGGGCAGGGCGGGCTCTTCCATCTCAAAAGTTTGCCAGCCCCCGGGCTAGGCCATCCAGGTTATTTGAAGTCTTGGTTCCACGACCCTTTGTTATGGCTCTCCCATTATTAAGACATGGGCGTACTGCTAATTCAGGGACAGCGTTCTGGCCTTCCGCGTGGGAGATACAAGTTTATTTCTCCTAGTCAATGAATCCCATGTGAAACTATCATGTGTTTGCCAGGGAAACTATCACGTGTTGCATATGGTGCTAAACAGGTTTCAGCAGGGCTTCCAGACCAAAGAAGAAAAGACTGGTGATTTATTTCCAAAGACCAACCAATGAAACCTGGCAGATGACAATGGTTTGATCTGCAAGTGACCATGGAGCTGGTCCAGGGCTAGGAAGCATTTCATGCCATTGCGAGACTTGGGGGCTGACTTGAAGGCAGTGAGCAATTCTGCACTAGACCAGGTACTTTACACAACCCTCAAGAACGTAACTGCTCCACTTTGGGGTGGGGGTGGGGCGGGTGATGTCTTCTCAACTGCTCTCATTCAGTTTCACTTTGTATTGCACTAGGGCATCATGGGACCTACAAGACAGGAATTAATTTTTCATAAATGACATCCAGGGGCTTCAGGCACGTGTCTGTGGGACACAATTCATTTAACAGTGGAGCTAAGCTAGCATCCAGGTCTCCAGGCCTTACTCAGTCCTATGTTTCTTGCCACAAAAATATGAGACATTGTCAGAAAAGATCTTGCTAAATCCATCGAGAAGAACAGTGTTGTTTGTGATAGAATTTTTCTATCCACCTTCAAGGAAATCCAATCAATACAACTATCATTCAACTGTAAGCACCAACCACAAAAGCTAGTGATGCAGAAATTGAAGAATTCTACCAACTACTTCAGTTGGAAATTGATCAAATATGCAATTAAGGTGCATTGATAGTTATCGGTGATTAGAATGCAAAAGTTGGAAACAAAGAGGAAGGAATAGTATTTGTAAACCTGGACTTGGTAATAATGAAGCTGGACATCGCATGAGAGAATTATGCAAAAGCAATGACTTGTTCATAGCAAATACCTCTTTTCAACAACATGAAAGGCGACTATACACATAGACACTCCCACGTGGAGTATACAGAAATCAAAGTGGCTACCTTTATGGGAAGACACAACCAAGACGCTCAGCTAAAACCAGGCAAGGGACCAACTCTGCAACAGACCACCAACTGATCATATGTATCAGGATAAAGCTGAAGAAAATTAAAACAGGTCCACAGAGTCAAAATATGGCCTTGAGTCTACCCCACCAGGATTTTGAGAACATCTCAAGCACAGATGTGTAGCCTGGAACACTACTGACAGAAGCCCTGATGAGCTGTGGGAGGACATCAAGGTCATCGTTCATGAAGAAAGCAAAAGGTCATTAAAAAGAGCAGAAAGGAAGAAAAGATCACAGTGGATGTCAGAAGAGGCTGTGAAACTTGCTTTTAATCATAGCGTACGTAGCTAAAGCAAGTGGAAACAAAGGATGAAGTCAAGGAGCTGAATAGAACATTTCCAAGGGCAACTCGAGAAGACAATATTATAACAAAATGGGCAAGGACCTAGAATTAAAATATCAAAAGGGAAGAACACGCTGAGCACATCTGAAACTGAACGAACTCAAGAAAAATTCAAGCCTCGAGTTTTGATCTTGAAAGGTTCTGTGAGA